AGCATGGAAGCAGAGTATTCGGCTCTAGCTGAAGCTTCGCGTGAAATAACTTATGTAAAAAGACTGTTGGTGCATATGGGTTTTAAAGCATGTGTAAAAAGCCCCATTTGTGTTTACTGCGACAATCAAAGCGCGATACAATTATCGAAGAACGCTGTTTTTCACAAGCGCAGTAAACATATCGACGTAAGCCATCATGTTACTCGTGAATTAGTCGAAAAAGGGGAAATTATAATTCACTACTTGAGGACAGACCAAATGATAGCAGATGTCCTAACGAAACCGCTAACAGGAACTAAATTTGATAAATTCGTAAAAATGTTAAGATTAAATTAAAGTAGTTTATCTTTGTTATGTATGTAGCACACAGTGATAGAGGGAGTGAAAGAAAGCAAATATGTAATCCCTGTGTGCTAGGTTAAGAAGACATGTTTTGTACTAGACGGCGCTAGTTGGCTAGTGTCACATGCTTTGGTCAAAGGTCATCTTCTTTGTTCTAGTTTGCTACGTCCCTGTGTAGCACGTGTCTCCCCTCTCTTTGTGCATGTAGTCGTGTTACATATAACTATGTATTTCCGTACATCGTAAGATATACGTTTACTTGCTTCATATTCTGACAAATATTAATTTTAAAATGTTCTTGGTGGTTTAAAACGTAACTCTTGATGATGGTTACTCAAAATTTATTCCCATCACCAAATACTAAATGAAAATTTCATTAATGACTTCCAAAATCATCTTTCTTGATGTCACATTTTAAAATATCAGAAAGTAGATTGAAAATTATTTCTAATAATTCATGTATTTTATTACTCCATGAACTTGCTGATATAATAGAAAAATTAAAAATATCAAAGACAAAAATTAATACAAAAATTATATTTAAATTCAATTAATGACATATTGTTAAATGTAACACAAATTATGTATATACCCCAAGTGTATCAGACCTGTACTACTTATGTTATACATTTAGATTAATCATATAATTACAATATATGCATTAATATTTATCAAGATTACAGTGGCACATATATATAATATATCAAATTTTGAAATCAAAGATAAAATCTATAAAATCTTAGTGATCTATTTTTAAAAACAATCACTATTTTATAATTTTGATAGATTTTTAAATAAAGAGAATTTATATTCTATCAATTATTTGCCATATCTAATATAAATTTTACTTAATTATAACTATTATATATAAAGATAATAATATTGTTACAAATGTGATTATAAGTATCAATACTAAATATATAATTTAAATTAACAGCAAAATATTTACTTTTCTTGGTACAAAAACAATATATGCTATAGGAAGATAATCAGCATTAGCTTTCAGGTGATCTGCAATCAAGGTCACTGATTTCACAGAAAATCTTACAAGGTAAATACACCTGTTAAAATATAAAAATTATTATTTAACAAATAATTAGTTAATTTTATTAATAATAATAGAAATAATTAAATTTTAAAATATTTTATGTATAATAGAAAAAAATTCATAATAATGAAATTACACTACATTAATCTTTACTCCATAAAGATTGTTTTTAATAAATCAAAACAGTACTTCAGAATTTCTAAAATATTCTTATTTAGAACTATGTAGTAATTGAAAATAGTAATAATAGCACTTAAGATAACATGTGGACAGAAGCAACCTGGGAGTGTTGCATCAGGGACAATAAAATTTGCAGCCTGTTGCAATAGTTGAAGCAATTAATTTTAATTTCATTAAATTCACATATCATTATGTTTTAAATTAATTTAAATCCAGTTATAATGTATTAAATAGTCTCACATCATAAAAATAACACTTAAAATATTCTTTGCTCTTTAATAAAGAAATTCTAAATAGTGACTAGCAACAAATTAATGAAATGTTAGTTAGTCTCAGTAATAAGTAATGTTCTGATGCTGTTTTAAGAAAACATTCATGAGAAAATGGTAGATAAGCTGAATGCATTAGTGGAGAGCACATCCTTCCAATGGATGAGTGTCATGCAGTTGAAATATGTGAAATTTCTTGCTGTTTAGAGAAAATCAAAACTTCTTTATATTGCATTTCCATTTCATCTCAAATGACGATCTACAATATGGCTAATACATTAGCCATATTCATCACGTTCCAGTTTTCCCAGGTTTTACTGTAGTGAAAAATTTTTGATTTACAGTAGAGCGTCGTTTATCCGAAAGCTGGTTATCTGAAACGTCCGTTATCCGAAAGCATTCCAGTCGGCAAATTTAAATTTTCGCTAGTGCTGTGGTGCTGCAATCTTCAGCTATTTTTCGGGCTACTCAAATATTTTACGTTTTTGATACTAAATTAACATCTGAAGTATAACTTTTTATTGTTTTTATATTTTTCAATATATTTATTTTGTTTGTACAAAATAACAAAATAATTTTTAACGATACAATAGTCTTCGTTAGGCTTAACATCGACGAAAATTCAACGCAAAGCGACACGCAACGGAGAAAAATTTCAACATGGGATAGATTAATATATTTTTTCGTACATAATCGGGTATCCGAAATATCGATTTTCCGAACCACACCAATTCCCAATTGATTCGGATAAACTACGCTCTGCTGTGAATATAATTGCTGATTTACATTTGATTCAAACATTCTATTTGCTCGTATACAGGTCGCGTCATCTATTGGCAAATCAGCAAATCGAATGTTTTACATTTTCTTACATTTTTTGTCAATAGATGGCGCTACATATAAACCAGCAAATCAAATGGAGTTAGAAATTGATTGATTTACAGAAATACAATAAATATTTTGGGGTGGAATGTATATGAAAGTTTGAGGAAATGACTAAAACTTTGCAAATATTTTCGAAAATATTTAAAATTTTACACATTTTTCTTGCTCTTAAATAAATGTAGGAAGATGTCTTTTAAAAATTATATAACAGGTTATGGCATATATATTATATACATATAATATAATAATGTAATATATATATATATATATATAGTNCAGTTCCCAATTGATTCGGATAAACGACGCTCTACTGTATTTAATAAAATATTCAACATGTAATTCTGTTAATTTAATACAACTGTTTTAAGTGCATTTTAAAAATTAAAAATTTTCAGAAAAACCATCACATTTTAAAAAATGAAATGCAAGGTATGTACTCTACAATGTAAGTACTATCTATGAAAAAAATAGTAACGACTTTTGCACAAGTTGTAACTTAAGATTGTAATGTGCACCATTGCAAAAATTCTTAGAAAGAATGCAGAATCTTAAAATATATTAACGTCCATGCAGCAAAAGAGTAGACATGAGTCAGCCTGAGCTAGAAGAGTCTGTCAGATGAAGGGATGAAAGGAGACATATGATTAATGTGTAAGTAATGTTAGATTTATGAGTAAATAATAAAATTTGTAAAATTTACAAAAAAGCAATAAAATTATGATAAAGATGATATAAAAATGTTTTAGAAATGTAAAAAATAAAACAGCTGAAAGTGATTAGACCCATGTGTCAACTCCTAAGGGGATAGCCACATCTTCCATCCCTTTCATCTGACATAGACCCTTCCAGCTCAGGCTGATTCATGTCTACTCTTTCGGTGCAATGACTATAGTACAAAAGTCATTATAAGCAACATAAACAAGTTACAAAGCAAAAAATTTTAAACAGTTGTAGTCAATAATATCCATTTTTTTCAATAATAACACTTTGTGACAATATTTTACTTATTTTAAATACTAAAATATATCAAAGACAAGTCTGTCCAATAAGGAGCACCATTTATTTTGCGTTTAAGACATACACAATAATGGCGACAGGCCTTTCTTTGTAGGCTACATGCCGCCAAAAGGTAAAAAAAGTCCTTTAAAAACACAAACATCCAATTAAAAAGTAAAGGAATCGGTGACACAGACGTCTTACTTCTTATCCATCTGGCCAATGGGTGGTTCTGCTTTATATCTACTAAGAAAGCGCTGGAATATGTAGATTCTGAAGCTGCCCCCTGGCAACGGTACATTTAAAATTTCTTTTTGTTGAATTTTTCGTCCGATGGCTGGATTATTATTAATATATATCAAAGACAAGTCTGTCCAATAGCTTCAGAATCTACATATTCCAGCGCTTTCTTAGTAGATATAAAGCAGAACCACCCATTGGCCAGATGGATAAGAAGTAAGACGTCTGTGTCACCGATTCCTTTACTTTTTAATTGGATGTTTGTGTTTTTAAAGGACTTTTTTTACCTTTTGGCGGCATGTAGCCTACAAAGAAAGGCCTGTCGCCATTATTGTGTATGTCTTAAACGCAAAATAAATGGTGCTCCTTATTGGACAGACTTGTCTTTGATATATTTTAATAATAATCCAGCCATTGGACGGAAAAATTCAACAAAAAGAAATTTTAAATACTTTAAACAAATCTCTATTAATTTGATTCCATTTATGAATAATTAGAAATTCATAAGAAACACACACTGAAAAAAGAATCAAAGAAATTTAAATGTTTTAAATGAAAAACTACCATTTTTATGTAAAACATTTGCTTCTTGTGAATGACTGTCAAAAAACATATTTATAATTAATCCTATTTATTATAATTACTGAAACTTACTTTACCTTTGACTTTCAACAGGTAAAGCAGTTGGCCCTAGTTTAAAAATTCTTTCTACACCAATTTTCTGCAGAATTTAAAATTATTATTATTATTATTATCATATTTCATTTTATTATGTATATTTTAAAAATAGTTTGTCAATTTAAAATATATTTAAATAAATTTATGAAATATAAATTATTACTTACCCTTAATTCAGACATAGTGGCTATGTGGTCTAAGGTGCAAATCAAATCATCATCCAATATTAAATGTTTTGATCCATCTATCTGCAAAATTAAAATATTCAGTTTAAAATTTATTATTATATACAGATAAATACTAGTATTTTCTTAATTTCATAAATAAATAATATTTAAATATAAATAAGACAGCATAACTCAAAAGTAGATTTTATCAAGGTTTTACTACAAAAATTTATATATATATGCAAGCATTTATTTATTGTGACATTGTCACAATGATCACAATGCCAAACTGTAATTTTTATGTTTTCCACTTCAAATTAGTACTGTAGTGTCTTGCCTGTACATCATACTTTTCCATTAGCAATGGAGTTGTGCCAGCCTATTAACTGCTTTCAGGGGAAGTTTTGAATTAAAATAACATGACTTCCAGTTTGCACTGGAAGTTCATATATAGTTAATTGGGGCCTCCTGCTCCTAAGGTTTCCATATCTGGTCTTGGATTTAATCTATCTATCATTCTTGAGATTACGGATTAAGTGGAATTTATAGATTTAAAATTTTTTTCAAATTGCAGCCCAATTACTGCCCATACTGTCAAAATGGGAAAGAGGGGCCATAGCTGATAAATACAGCCCCACTCTTATTAAAATTCTGCCAAGAAATATAGATTATTTATGATAAGTCTGGACCCACTCTCAAATGACATGATCCAACTCTAAACCTGTAACTATCAAATTTCAAAATTTAATAGCAATTCCTCTCATACAAAAGTTACTATGCCAAATTTCATTTCTTATTCTTTACCCCATCCTGAGATACAGGAACAAAATACATGCAAACACTCACACACACACATATTTTTGAATTTTTCCCTCCATTTTTACTTTTTTTTGCATTCAGGGAGTCTCAAAATGTTGCGATTCACAAAAAACCCAGAATGCCATTTGACAAAACCCAAAGGATCAAATACTTTCCCATGTTGTAATCATAACAACCAGAAAAGTAATGAACTGAAATAAAATTTTTTCTGTAATGTTTACAAAAATGTAATGAATTATTTAAAGAAATAATTAAAAATTTTAATTCTGCACTTTTATTAAAAAGCTACAACAGATCCTAAAATAATTACAGAAATTAAAAATGAGTTATTATTACATTGTAATGCAATTGTAATGCAAAACGAGACTTATTTCCATATATTTTTTCAATATACAGATATATATAATGTAAAAATTAATTTAATATAAAAATAACAATTTCATGCATTAAAGCAATCTTACATATTACACTGCATTACTAGAATATCATATTTTAATGACTTTGTCATTTAACATAATATGAGACAAAAGAATTAAAAATGTAATAAAAATTAGGAATAAATGATTTCATTTTTGAGATACAGTGGATCAAAATGACAATATCCAAGGTTGTTAACATGAGTGTGTACAATTTTATTATTATTTTTTATGCTGGCAGTGATGTCACTGCAATGGTAGTGGCAAATGATCGTCACAGACGGTCCCTGAAACAATATTATTGACTTGTTAGCACTTCAATTCAATTCATAGTTTGCATTCAAACAGAAAATAAACTGTGCCCAGTAATCAACAGTATTGCATATTTATTACTTATCTAGATATGATGAATAAAAGATGATTAATATCTACTTATAGTAGCATATGAATGAGGAACATTCATTAAAAAATATATACCAGTATATAAATTTGCTTGTTTTAATTTTTTCAAATAAGTTTAATAGTACAGTCGACCCCTCTATAACACGGTAGATACGTTCTGGTTTTTATGAATCCATTTTCTATGAGTCCAGCCAATCACAGCCCGGCATGTATGCAGTTTACGGACTACCTGTTTGAAAGGTTTCTTCCATAAAATTCATTGATTCTAGATTAATTTGACTGAACATTTCCAAAATACATATAATTTTTTGGGAATAATCCATATAAACTATGCTATAAACAAAAAAATTGTAGGATTACTTACTGAGTGTGCACCGTCCGACTATGCCATTGCTTAAGCTTGTTTTTGTCGTGGAGCTTGTCATTGAATGGCGCTCACGTGCTTCCTGATAAATTATTTTTTTTGTGAAAAATTCACTGAACTTTGGAGACATCATTAATATAAATATAATTTTTATGGACGTTAAATAATAAATGGTTTTTAGTAGGTCCACTGCTCGTTTAAACTCAACAATTTGTGCAATATCCACTATTGGTCTAGATTCAACCAATCCTGTCACAACATGAGTCGGCGATGATGTTTTACCGAATTATACGAGTTTTTTTAGCATGTTTGTACAAATACTGTCACAATTTTTTCTCCGTGATATAGGAATCTGAACTATAGGAACTCGTGTTATAGGGGGGTCGACTGTATTAAAAAAAATTTATCCATTCATTTTGTAAATCATTATCTAAGAGATATCAAAGATTATATGAAAATGTAACAGATATGATAAAAGCACAAAAGTGAACAATTGAAAGCTGAATACATTTATCTTACATTTAAGCTGATAAATACAGAATAACTAATAAAAATAAAATGATTAAAATACAACATACAAACCTATCTACGTAACTAATATATTTTTCTAATATTGGATTCATATAATTTATTAAACAGAATATTTTAAGTAATTTTAGAAAATGTATGCTTCATGCTCATCTGCATGAATTTACAAATCTACATGTCAGAGTTCAAATTCATTTCATTGCATTAACAAAAAATTAGATGAATTTGAAAATAATCTTTTGATATTTTATGCTTATATCATGATTTTAAATTGTCTTATAATAATATCTTTTTATTTATATTATACATGATAAAAATATTTCACTTGAGGAATTAGAATGAGAACAAATTTATTTAAGAATTTTAATACTTAAAGAAATTGTAAAAAGAAACTGTAACCCTATAAATTCCCACTGTCATCTGTCTGTCTGTCCTTCCTTAATCTCAAGAATGGAGTTAGATAGATGAAAGCCAAGACCAGATATGGAAAGCTTAGGGGCAGGAGGCCGCAATTAACTATATATGAACTGATGCAAACCAGAAGTCACTTTATTTCAATTCAAAAATTTTCCTATGAATAGATAGATGACTAGCATGACTCTATTGCTAACAGGAAAAGTATGATATACAAGGGGAAAGTCACTACTAATTTGAGGTGGCAAGCATATATTTTAAATTACTTATTTACTGTATTTATTTATTATTATAAAATAATGTTTAAAAATATAAAAATATAAAATGATTATTTTTTACCTTTTCACTCTTTACATTCTGATAAGTGATTTTAGAGACTAAAAGAAGTACTTAATGTTTTATACTTATACACATTCTAGTACACAATGGAGGATTAAAAATGTGCTGAAGTTTAAAAAGTAAGTCAAGGACACCTACAGGCTTTTTTGAAATACTCAAAAGTACTCTCATTTATTGCAAAAATATAAACAAATACAGTATTTTACTGCATTATAATAATGTTTTTATAGTTCAAAACACTTCTTTATAAAACTTACAAAACTAAGTCTAACAAGTAAGTACTGTTTTACATATATTGGATAATTTAAGGAAACTTGAACAAACTGGACAATGGAGAGAGAAAAAGAAAAATTTCAAGAAAAATGCAGACATAATTTATGGACAGCCCCTAATGACATCAATGATACAGACTACAGGCCATTGATTATAATCTGAGACAATTTTACCACAGTATCAATTAATCCTTTAAAATCAATTTACTTTTTGTTATGTTAAGAAGTTTTCTTGATTTCATAAAATGTGACAGCATGCCTTGTGATTGTTTACATGTTCAGCAGATAAAAATGATAAATGCATAGACCAATTCACTTTTACTTGTGAATGGAATACAGTAGACCCCCCTATAATGTGGATTCATATAATGTGGATTCATATATCGTGGCGGAAAAATTGCAACTGTATTCATATAAAGACACTAACAGAGACTCATAAAATGTGGTAAAACGTCATCACCGACTTGTGTCATGACAGAATTGGTCGAATATGGACCAATAGTGGACGAGCAGCCGAACTACTTACACGCTATGGAGAGTTTAGGCAGGTAAGTTGAGTTTACTATCGTCTGTACAGTATATAAATTAGGTACTGCAAGTCTAATACAGTACTGTAATTTTATACATTTCTTGTGAAAAAAACATTTCTTATTCAACGGTCATAAAAATTATTTCTATTAATGATGTCTCCAAAGTTCAACGAACTTTTCGCAGAAAAATAACTTATCAGAAAATGCGCCTGCCATTCGATGCGCTGCTTCGCGATGAAAACAAGCTTATGCAATGGCATCGTTGAATGATGCACACTCGGTAAGTAATCTACAATCTTTTCTTTATAGCATAGTTTATACAGATTATTCCCAAAAAATTATACATGTTTTGGAAATGTTGAGTCAAATTAGTCTAAAATCTATTAATTTTACGGAAGAAAACCTTTCAAACAGCCGTAGTCTGTAAACTGCATGTTTTATTGTCCCTGTGATTGGCTCATGTATTTAAGGATTCCTACAACGTGAAATTCTTATAAAGTGGAACGTATCTACCGCGTTATAGGGGGGTCGACTGTATAATATGTTTAAATAGAATGTGCTCAGCAAAAGATTAGACAATAACAAAACATCTTTCTTGTTGCCGAGAAAGTTTATTTAAAACAAACGTTTTCGACCTATTTCATAGGACACCGTCAGGTTGAAAACAGACAATTGGAACATTTCCGTTCCACAAGATCGAATATAAATACTTAAATTTCAAAAAAACTGACAATGGATTAAAAAAAAAAACAAACAACATACGAGTAATGTATAAAAATATATATAATAAAAAAGCAAAGAATAAAAACAAATTAGAAATACTACTAAATATAACTATCAACTAATACTACTTTGAACATTAAAAATTAACATGTAAAATATGAGTTCTTGGCAGACTTTTTAACAATATTCTTACATGCCAATGATGGGCCTTCTGCATCCCGCATTTATACATACCTCTTCTAGTTTGCTCTTATAAATCTCTATTTTCTCAGTGATCTTTGCTAATGTAGGGGAGCTCACGGGTTTGATAATGTCCACTTCAACCCATTTAACTACCAAGCCTTGGGTCTGAGCCATCTGGAAAAGTACCGTTGCATTGGTACCTTTTCTGTTATACTTGTGTTCCTTGAGTCTTACTTCCAAATTCCTTGTTGTAACGCTGATATATTCTTCCCTAATTCCCAGCTGAGCGTTTTCATATGGAATCTTATACACACCTACTTTTTCTTCCTTCTTAATGCTATCCTTGTCATTTCTTAAAATTTTTACAGGTTCAGAGCTCTTTTTAGAATTATTGTTGACTCTTTGCAGAAAGTTTGAGATTAGAATGATAAACTTGGATCAAACAGCTCTATAGAAAGTTAGTTTCATTTTCAATTTTTAAGCATTAATAGTGTGAACCTGAGTTGAAATGAAACACAAATAAACCTACACATTATTGTTATATACAAGGTGGTCTGCTTATAATGTTATCCACATTAACTGATATTAACTTTAATTTTTTAAATGGTGATCTCCATTTTTATTGTATATCAGAATTCTACATCAAAAACAAATTTTTATCTTAAACATTTTTTCAAAAGATGCATTTTATCAGATGTTATGAGCATTTGAAGTTGTAAGCATTGTTGATTCACTATCTACACTCTTAACATTAAATATCTTAAAAAAGATGGTGACCTGTGATAAATTTTGCATAACATATAGTTACATAATTAGAAAAATCCATAAATAATAGTTATTTAGTTCAATAAATGTTCAAAATAATGGCCATCATCAACCTCAGAACATTTTTCAGTATATTTGTTATACACAGATACAAAATTTAACACAGATCATAATTTTTTTTAAATATTTGACATTAAGAAATTTGTAAAAACATATTTATTGAAATGAAATACATGTAAGTGTAATGTGAACCCTGAACATGTGATAGACTGACAAGCAAAGTTAGCTTACATCAATCACTGTTATGTAAGGATTCATACTGTTACTTGTATGCACACTCAGACTTGCTTTCAAGAAGCATTCATCATTGTCAGATGTTTTTAGCTTTCCAGCAAACAAATTTTTAAAAAGTACCAAAGTAGCCAACTCAGAAAACATTCTTTCTTGATAAATAACCCAAGATTTGACGAATAAATCAGAAAGTGAACGACACCTTTCGTGAATAGGTAAAAATGTAAAAATTCATGGTAAAAGCCTTGAATTCACAATATAACATTAATATGGATGATCTGTACAATGAGATAGCTATAGTTAAAGATAAAGTAACAAATGTAATAATGAAAAATTTAAATGTTCCAGAAAAATGGATAAAAATTTTGAATTATAGTAAACCATTGCCAAACTTAGTCAAATTATTGTCATTTTGCCTGAATATTCCAGCTACTAATGCTTTTGTAGAGTTTTTTTCTCTTATGAACATGTATTGGATGAAAAATATCAAAATAAGTGTTCTGTGAAATAAATAAATAGTGAATTGATAATTAAGTTAAATTCAAAGGAATCCTGTCAAGCAATATATACAACAGTGCTAAAAGATAAAAAACTTCTTTCTGAAGCACAATATCAAAGTAAATACATTTAATAAGTAAATTGTTTCATATGTAAATCCTGCATTTTTATTGAAAATTTCCCAATTTTTACTAGCAGAAAGATATTTCTTGAGTTATTCACCAATATCATAATAAGTGGATTACCTTGTTTATGTTGTTACATAATGTGTATCTAATGCACATTTGTATTTAACATTTAATAGAAATACAATCGTTGTGCTGTATTTTGTGTATCATTATGTGATATTTTCTGAAATTTTTCATTCCCAGGAATAAAAATGAGGAAGAAAAATATTAAAAGTTTATCGACAAAATCAAAATTACTTCATGTTTTTGAAATGGAAATATTATTTTGAAATTGATTAAAAATTATCATAATATATTCATTCAACTTACAGATTTCAGCAGTTTTATCAAGGTTTGCGCTGATGACGTTTTAATAATTTGATAAATCGACTTTCCAATATCATTTATATTCATTTTGTTTACAATTTTATAGTAAAAAATCACGATTAAATCTAATTAAACCTGACATTCGACATTTTTACCGCTTCCAATGTTTGGCGCTCTATTCCCGTTTTCTAGTTAGTGTTGCCATCTTTGTATTGTTTAATAAATATTTATTTAATGATGAATTATTAAATATCAATTTTTGTAACTTAAACTAATAGTAAAATATTATATGATATGAGTACAGTATTTTAATAGTAAGATTCTACCTTTAAATGAGGAGCGATTGATCTATTCTCTTTAAGTAAAATTTCGGCTCTTTCGTTAGGGTTTTGTTTACGTCCCCAATTCCTTAATCGCTTAATTATTTAACTACTTCTTAAGCAGAAATATCAATAAGTCGAAACCGGTTACTTTGTACTCGAATATTTGTAGTCTCGGGAAAAAGTGGAAAGACAAATTTTTATGACAGACGGATACATAAATCGTAAATTTAAGGAAAATAAATTCTAGAGCTTTTTCTGTACCTCGTGCATCTCTCTCATTCATTAAATTTAGTTGTAAATGACAGTGTCGAAGTAACAGTTAATTTTTTAACATTGTACAAGAATTGTATACGTTTTTTTCCTCATCCCCTTATAGATGGGACATACGAAATCGTAATATCACCGGTTTAACATTGAAATCCGTGAGTAATATAAAATCGGAGAGCGGAATAAATATATCAAATATTTTAACGGATTTTTTTAACTCCTGTCAACTATACAGAAAACTATCATAAAAACATACAGGTAAATTCTTATCGGTTGGGATTTGAATATACAATAGCAATCTTATCTTATTTTTCACGTGTAGTACAGAAATTTGTAATAAGATACATAATGCGGTTATAATAAAATATTGTGCGATTATTTTCGTATAATTAAAATTAATATATATTTATTTTTTAGAAAATACGAGGGAAGCGGCGCATCCACCGCTTCTAATGACGGCACGCTACTGATATTTACACATATTAACTTAATAGGATTTAGAATTTAAAAATAATTATCAATAATCGATAACGTGTCCATCATTTGTACTGGAACTATTATTTCTATTTAGTTGGTTATAATAAGGAATTTTTTTACGCATTATTATTCTTTCATCTGAGAATTAAAATTATAAAAATATTTAGTCAATATGTATTACTTATAAACAAATTTTTCAAAAATAATTATTTTGTATACAGTATATTGTAGACTCCCGTTTTTACAGTATAAATTTCCCATTAAACTGTATATAATGCCTTATTTTTCATTATTTCGATATCATTTTATATATTTCAAACTATTTTCGAAAACATAATCTCAATTTATCACACTGAGAATCGCATTACGGTTTTTTGGAAACCAATTAGATAGTAAAGTGGGAATATTCGCCTTTTTAGGGGTCTCGTGTGTCACTACTCATTCCTAAAATACCACTAAAGAAATTGCGCTAGGAGACTTAAAAATACTTAAAGTAGTCCTGACTGTGATTTATCAAAATATACAATATATTTAATTAGTTTTTCAAACATAGTTTATGTTCTGTTAAGCTGGGTATCCAGATGAGCAATTTTGCCGCATGCACATAATCATATACTTCCACGATTCACACAGAAACTACAGTTTTTCGTAATTAAGAGAAATATAGAAGTATAAAGAACGGGGAATAAGGGATGAGGAGAAGAGAGCCAGCCTTCTTGACAACAATCTGTACAAACTATCGGTATCATCCATGCTTATCAGTCGACGAAATCAGCCTCTATGTCCCCCCAATGACGAATGTCTAAATATGGTCCTGTTCTAGGAAACCTGAAATCGAATCCGAGAGAGCAATTCCCCAGAAATTTTACACAGAAGGATCTGTTGGGCTCGGCCGACATATCCGGGAAAGATCCTCCTATGTAAAGGGTCTGTGAGAAGGGCCTCTTTTAGCAAGCTCGTTATGGGTTCGGCCAGGCCCACAATGGGCTTGCTAAAAGAGGCCCTCTTAGTGCCACAGGGCGGAAAGAGTTAAAAAAAATCCGGTTGCTCCTATAGCAGGCCTGTCTGAATTCATACGATAACGAAAAGACTTTCGTGATGCCTTCAATACAGGAAGAATGAAAAAAATATAAGCCAGTGGCGTACCGTAGTCGGGCGGCACTTTGTAAGGGGCGGCAAAATTTTACAATAAATAATATTATCTTGTAAAAATTTGAAACATCGTAATCTATACTTGCATCGCGCCTACGATAGTGCTATCGTCCGGGAATCGGCTCACTGGGTGAACTAGTAGCTTTTTCATCCGAGGAATTAACTGCGAAACCTGTTGACCTTTTTTTTTGCTTGTACGATTCATTCGCGTTCATATACACCACTAATATCCAATAGAACTATTTTAAACAGGACGCTGCATTACCATCGAATTTTTCATTGCTTGTTCTGCAACAAAATTGAATTTTGGTCTTTTAAATTGAAATATCTAAATAAGGGAGCCGAAATTTTCCTCTGCCCCGGGCGGCTGATACCCACGGTACGCCAATGATATAAGCATAATTATAAAATGTGGTTAATAGATTATTATTAACATTTTAATTAATATTTATTATGTTAATATAATAAGTATATAAATAAATATGCTTTGTGGGAAATTAATTAAAATAATTACAAAACACAACTTCATAAATAATACACACACACGACTGGTATATATCTTAATTAGTTATATTTATCACATTAAAATTAATATAGTAATATTAATTTATTAAAACTATTTCAAAAATTAATGACAATTGTTACTTTATACGTATTATAATTTTTATTAATGAGATTATTGAAGCGAAACGTCCTCTAGTTGTTCTCGACGTGTACACGTTGTTTGCGCATGCGCAATAATGCGGAATTCACGTCTTTCTCTTGACACCTTGTCGCCATTTTGAGACGTGTGAGTGTATGGTGGTTGGTACGATCCTTGCCTTGTTTTCTTGGTTTTCTCCAATTATGGCCGCAAATAGAGAAAGAACTTTCGTTATGGTGAAGCCCGATGGCGTTCAAAGAGGATTAATAGGTCAGATCATTCAAAGATTTGAACAAAAAGGATTTAAATTGGTAGCAATGAAATTTATGCAGGTAAGCCGGTGATTGATTCTCGGAAATTCTTTCCATCTTGTTAAATTTCTTCCTGAATTTTGCCAATGATTTATTATTATGGATAAGGAGAATGTGAATTAAATATAAAATCGAAATTTAATGTACTCAAATAAGAACATTTATAATAGAAACGACGATGAATTGAATCTTAATTTACATAATTATTTATCATTTTGCAATTTGAGTCGAGTAAATTCATTCGGAGCGAAGATGATTGAAATTGTAACGCGACAAAAAAATAAGCAGGAAATTGATTCATTAAATTAATGGTGGCCGGCGTGGTTCGTCGGAAGCGCACTAGCGCCCCCTTCTGGTAGTTTCTAACGAATTTAAAATTTTTTATAATTATTTTAATTACAGTATTGTATATGAAATTTCTGAAGGTTTAAATCCATCAATTTTATATATTAATAAAAGTAAAATGATTTTCTTAAACTTTTAATATGACATTTTCAATGAAAAGTGAATTTGTAAATTGCATTGTTTAAGTGCTGAAGTCTACCAAACTGGAAAAGTATCAAAATAGTTAATTTTTTTTAATGTATTATTTATGGAAGGCTGAATTCAATTTAATTGTATGCAACTTATTTAAAGCAATTCTTGGTTATATGGCTCACAGACTGTTAAGTTATAGCTGGCTGTCTACCAATCCCTTCCACTTCTTATTGTGTAAAAATGACTCAATTCAAGTGCCGAATGAGACAGTTGGGACTTTATTGGAGAGCTGTAGAGCATACCCATAGGAGCAAAAAAGTCAAAGGAACCATACCTCTACGTGTTACCCTTTGTAAGATATAACCCCCCTAAAATCAGTATCAGGAATTTTGAAGACTCAAAAAAATGGAGTAAAATTTAAATCTAGTTTAAAGGTGAAAAACATCCAGAATTATTTCTCAAAACAATGTTAAAAATTAACAGTTTTCCACTTTACTAAAAATGAGCTAAAGCTCATAAAACACGAGAAACGCCACTGTACCGAATTGTGCATGCTCCAGTAAGCCTGTTACATTTTTAACAGGCGGCCAGGTCAAAAACTTGAGGCAAATATCTTGCCGAGGGCCACAATCGGAGATGTGGTTTCTTTGACTTTTTCTGCGTCTAGGGTTTTCAAGTTTGGAAGGGTCCAAATTCCTTGTTCAGAATTGAATTTTACTCATTTTTTTGTCTACATAATATATTACAAGTAAACAGTTTTGTGATTAGTGATCTTGTAGGCCAATAGAGCATCATGACCAGAAGCCTCTTTCATTTATCCTTAACAAAAGAAAAATGGAAACAAAACAAGTAGATTGAATATGAGAATGCACAAGTATACTGGAACAGTTTTCATTCATCTCAATAGAAATGAAAGTATCTGTACAAAAACTATAAACGTTTTGTTGTAGAAGAGAGAATAGAACAATAACCAATTTGATTGATGATAATGAAAATAATAGATTAAGATCTATGCTTTCTTTATTAATAAGCAGTTCTCTTATTAAATTTTTGAGTAAAATAATGCCCAAGTATTAAATTTTTTAACACAGCTGTTATGTTTGTCAGGTAAAGTCTATTGTGAGATCTTAAACTTTCTAACAAAAGAGAAAATAATGCATTAAGAACATTTTTTAAAGACTAAACTTCCTTATAATTAAAATAATTTTCATTTGTAAGTTAAACTTTGTAACTCAGTGTTTCTCAATGGGGGCGATATCGCCCCCATGTGGGCGTTTTTCCATGTTCAGGGGGCGATTAGTAACAATTTATATTTTGGGGGGACGAAAAACAATTTTCTGAGCGATATAGTTAAACATTATATTAAACAAATAACATTGTACTAGTCACTAGTCTATTCGATGCAGTACGAATTTGGTGTTAGCCTTGGCCCTCGGCATCGGAATTTTGTAGTGAAGTGGGCGATACTACGTAACAGTTTTATTGAAGGGGGCGACGATTCGTTAGAGGTTGAGAAACACTGTTGTAACTAATGTAACTAAAAATTAACTAGCTATAAAAATAAATTAGACTTCTCTCCTGTAAGAAGGTTGCCTTTAATACAATAAAATAATTATTATACATTAAATTTTTTAAAATAATAATAATTTGTAAATTATTAAATATATTTTTCCAGGCCGATGATGATCTGCTTAGGAAGCATTATTCGGATCTTGCTGGTCGTCCATTTTTTAATGGGTTAGTAAAGTATATGCAAATGGGTCCAGTGGTTCCAATGGTAAGTTTTAATTTTTTAAATATAAAAAAAAATGTAGAAAACTTAAAACAAATTTTTATAAATATTAATTTGAATGCAGGTGTGTTTATTAGTTGTGCCAGTCGCCATAGGGATTATCTAAGTAAATGTTTACCTTTCATTTTTATTGATAATTTTTTAAATTGAATAAAAGAATTACAATAGACATTTGTTTGGTGTTATGCTGTACAATAGAAGTTTGTTAATCTGGCACCTAAGGGACCATAATGATATCAAATTATCAGAAATGCTGGATTACCAGACATTTTTGTACTTTTGCTAGATTTGATAAGTTATATATGATCAGAACAGTGCAGACATTGTTGTACATGTACCCACAAAAGCATTAGGCCAACACAAACACACTAACAAAATGAATCATTTTTCTTTATCCTGCAGTTAATCTTTCAACATGCATGACTGTTCTCTGAGGTAAAGATGGGATTTCTACTGGCAACCTTTAGTACACTGAATCCAAATTCCTAATTTACAGAATACTAGTACACTAGATTATTATTGAAATCCTAGATTACAGAAGATTGGTTTACAGAATTTATAAATTTTTGTTTTGTATTTTAAATTTCAATCAATTCAATTTATGTATTATAGGTTTGGGAAGGATTAAATGTTGTTAAGACAGCAAGAGATATGATTGGTGCAACTAATCCAATGGAATCTAATCCAGGAACAATTCGTGGCGATCTCTGCATTCAAGTCGGAAGGTATTGAATAGCATTCTTATTTTTTGAAAATAAATTTACATGTTATTAATACATTCTATTCTAAAATCACCTTTTATTTAATAGAAACATCATTCACGGAAGTGATTCGGTTCCGAGTGCAGAAAAAGAAATCAGTCTATGGTTCACTAATAAGGAACTTAATAATTGGCAACCTGCCATTGATAATTGGATATATGAAGAAAATTAGTTATTGATGGATATTTTTCATTTTATTAAACAGTATTTAATCAGGTGTTCACAATCATAAAAATTCTCAATCAAAACTTATTCTGATTTTCACTTTACATGCAATGAAATTTCTGGTTACACTTTTATACTTAAGAGAGTTTCAAAAAGTATATACTGTAATAAAACAATGATACTGCTGTTAATAAAATGTGAATGATGTTAAAATTTTACTGTTTTAGTTTAAAATATATAATGCCTATAAATACATTGAACATATATTAGTTATAAAACATTAAATGAAAATACTGTATATAAACACTAAATGTTAAATCTAGTGTATTAAACTAAAAATACTTTAAAGCCAAAAGAAATCAGCAATGGAATGTACACTTAAATTTCATTTGAGTCATTTAGCAAAACAAATGATATGTTACAAGTTTGAATTTTTCATCTTTTCAATATTTGATACCTGACAAGTTGGATTTTCTCAAATTTTGTTACAAGAGAGTATCAATATCATTTAAAGATAGCATATTCAGACACACCAATTTTTTCATCCAATTTTAAGTTATAGTGGTTGAAACATATTAAAAGTTTTTACATTATGGATGAAAATTTGCAATAAAAATGTTAGAAATTTTATATAAAATAAGAAAATTGCATTTGAACACCGATGCACAAATGTATATGTGGAGGAAAGCAATGGAAGTATTTTGACTAAACATTTTAAGCTTTAATGCATTTTTTCATATACAATGGGTGATCAGTTAACGAACACTTTCGTGAAAGATTTTTATGTTCGGATAACGAACACTTCACAGAACAAACACAAAAAGAAGTGACATAAAATAACGAATATCGATTGGTTTTCCTTGTCTCCAGGTAACAATTCGAAACCTCTCAGAGCGTGGGAAGCTCTCAACCTGATACTATTCCTCTGAACTTATTATTAAACTCCAGCTTATTGTTTACCTTTCTGACAAAAATTTTTATAGTCCTTGCAAGACTGTTGGGCACTTGTTAAATTTTGCATCGGTTCTATTTTCTAAAGGTGAGAGTTTAACTGTCCTATCGGATATTTGTTAATGGTTCAACACCAAAATTTCAAATTTTATTTGGACCTAGCCTCATATTTACATAATTCTTTCCTGTGCTAGTTGATTTCTGTTCACTGAATTTTTGTGAGTGCCTTTCTGAACTTTTTATTTCAAAAAGACGTTGATATTATTATGAAGCCTAAAAAGAGTGGTGTCAAGCTCACCTTAGAAACTAAGCAAGAGATAATAGTCATGGTATAGAGTGGGCAGATGTCTGATGGTGCTAGGCAGTATGGCTTGAACAGGTCTACAGTAGGCACAATCTTAACTAAGAAAAATATAATCAAGAAGATTCAAGCAGCTAAGGGAATTATGAAAATCACATCTGAGAAACAAAGATGTGCCATCTATTAAAAAAATGGAAAGATGCTTACTATGTTTAAGAAACTAAAAGTAAATTATATAAGTTTATTTATTTATTTTTTGGGTTTCCAGAACAAATTAATCAAATTCCTATAAAAATCTATGGTAAATCGATAATCGGTTAACAAACAATTCAGATAGCAAACGTCTTGGAACGGATTGTTTGTTAAACAATCGTCTACCGTACTTATTTTCCTGAAAATCAAATCTCATACATAATGATTCACTCAGTAGCAAATACTCAATAGCTAGCTGATGATTGCAAGATCACAATTGAATAACAGCATAAGACACCTTGGTTGACTGGTTGTCGTGAAATGAATCATTCCGTATGTTTTGTTTTCATCTTTTTGGGGTATATGGAGATACCCCAAATTGTGTTCAATCCCAAGTAAATCTCTGACAAATACCCAACTTAGAATGTTGTATGACCTATAATTTAAGGTTTGTCTGTTTTCAAAATTAATTGTATAGCACAATTGATTTTATGTCAATGGGCTGCAATTTGAAAAAAAATATAAGAGCTATAAATTCCCACTGTTGTCCATCTGTCTGTCATTTGTAAATATTGAGAACAGAATTAGATAATGAAATCCGAGACCAGATATGGAAAACTTAGGGATAGGAGGTCCCGATCAACTATATATGAACTTCCAGTTTGTACCAGAAGTCACTATTTAAAAAGTTTTCCCCTGAAAGTAGTTAACAGATGACTGTTAAAGGAAAAGTATGATGTACAGTACAGGGACAAGACTACTAATTTGAGAAGAGGATATATTTATGATTAAAAATTGCAGCCTGGTATTGTGACAATCACAATTAATAATAGATCATTTTGGTTAGCATCTCTAACTAAAATTATTCCTTAAATGTAATCTCAAATTTATGACATACCATCAAAGTGAAGGACGAAAATGAATATTGTTTGAATAGGATAGATAAAAACATTAATAGGTATTATTATGTTTAATATGGTACTTCCTTTTCATGGTTGGCAAATCAGGAAATAAATTTTTTGAAGTATATGTTCATTTACAAGTTAACGTGATTGTGTGCATCAGTTATTGTTATTTCTTAACGATATTAATTTAGAAAACAGCATTAATTTTTGCTTGCTTTTTATATTAGTTAAAATTACATTAAATTTCTTATATATTAAGTTTAAAATTTTCTTGATATATTTTACAAAATTCTCATAGGATTAGTGATAAAAGTAATCTTTTCCATTCTATCTTTCCCTAATGTTGCTAGAATAAAATCAGCATGCCCCATTTTTTCTAGTAGTTTGAATTTTTCAAGGCTGTCATTAAATCATTTGCTTTTTAGTTTTAGTGCTTATTTACAAATGGTTATTCTACATTTTAATTTGGATATAGCTTAAGATATTAAATTCTGATCCATTATCCTTCCATCAAATATGAATTATATAGTTTGGTTTATTTAGTTATGGCAATGTGATACGCAGGCGATTTGCTGAGGTGGGCTTTCTAAGGGCTCCATTTAGATGCTACTAATGTGAAGGAAACCCAAACTCCACATGGCCTGCCCTTTGGCTAGGAGGCACAAAGCAACCACAAATTACCACTGTTTGGTGGTAGTTTGTGGTCATATTTGGTGGTAGGTAGTAGTCATATTCAAAGATACCACTGACTTGACATTATCTTCAAAGCCATGTCATGTACTTGATTTTATTGTCCATCTTCTCAAGAATTCTCTTCATAATTCCTCTACTTTGTTTTTTCCCATTTTCTAAGGTTTTTTTTAATATTTTGGCACCTTTACATATATTTTTTAAACTCCACCCTGTGGGCACTACTTTTAGAGGGTCTCTTAGGTGTGTTATGGTTTTGGCCAAGCCCATAATTGAGCGGCCGGGTGATAAGAGACAGCCCCCAACATATCTGGAGGGACCACCACCTGAAAAATTCCTGGGGTTTTTCTGACCCATCCAGATTCGATCCTGAGTCCTCCAGAGCAGTATGCTGCCACCCTGACTAGATTACACACACAAAATCTTAATTTTTATACATGTAAAAATATGTTATATAATACTGTAAATATAAAATGTTAATGTTGGCCATGTTTTTATTTTTACTATTTTCTCTAACATGTTATATAATGTTTAATTGTTTATTTTATGTCCATCAGATGTTTTGTTGTTACGATCAGATGTTTAATCTCTTGTTTCTTACAGCATTACTACTGCATTTATAAATGAAAAAAATTATAAATTTATTACCTTTCAAAAATCTTAATATTTATTTAGAAAATCATAAATATTTATAATTAATTTATATATTAAAATGACACGAGACGTAACAACAGGTTTAAAAAACATTGGCACCCATATCGATATTTTTAAGTACGGAAATTTGTGGAAGCACCTCGATTTACTGGTACATCGTATAATCGATCACATTTATACAATGAAAAATGTACAGTACAGTACATACAATACACTAAATACAAAATAATTCTTTCAGAAAATCATCCAGCAATAATTTATATTATTACAACGATATACATATTCTTACAAAATATATTTTATATTCAAACTTTATTATTCATCTGTAATTCTGGAGCAAACTCGTATAGAAAAGCTTCTAGCACATTCTGTTCAAAAAATAAAAACATTTCTCATTAGAAAATTAGATTTTCTAGAAGAAGTTTTGAATAAACTCACATAATTGGAAAGTTAGAAAAAAAATCTCAAGAAGAATATTCATTTTACAAAACAAACATTTTAAAAAGATTTTAACAGTAAATGTTAACCCTGCAGTACAGTAAAACCTGCCTAAAACGGAAATAATTTGGCACTATGCACTTCTGGTTTACACAGGTTTTACTGTACTTGAAAATAAAATTTTTTTACTTAAGCAATGCATAATTATTTATTGAAAAAATATTTTAATAATATAAAAGCTTGTGTGTGTGTGAATTTCCTTATAANGGCAAATTTATAGTACAAATATTTTCTGTATTTTGGTTTAATAAAGCATTAAAATAGGTACCTAATTATTATTTTTTACCTACTTATTTATTTACCTATGTATTACATATTTTATTATAGAATTCATTATTAGTTCATTTAATTGGGGCAGCCACTTAATTGGGCCAAAATGGATTAGTCCCAATGTGTCCCAATTAAACGGGATCCACTGTATTTATAACCTTGTGGAAAATTGTAAATATTTGTCATGCTTTTGAATGCCAAAGATTTAATGATAAATTTAGAGAACCAATAGAAAAAACAAATACTTTACAAATTGATTTTCTTAATCAGATGATTTTATGGCTGAAAAAGTGGAAATTAACATTGCCTGTATCAGACACATTAACATCTCAAACATTTCAGGCATTAATTATAACAAATGAAACTGATTTGCATATATGTTTAATAATTACAATTTAAATTATCTTCTGTGATCAAAGTTTCAGAATGATAAAATATAAGAATGATTTGGATGTTACAGGCAGTTAAGTGGGTCTAATTATTATATCAGTTGTACACAGTTATGATAAAGTGAAAAAAAATTAAGATTTAAAAGCTTTGTAATTTTATCATATAAAGTTCATGATATTAAGTTAAAAATAGTATTACCTTGCAAAGAAAACTTTAAAAGTTCTGTTAATAGATCCATTTTATACAATATTTCAGAATGAATTTTCCTTCCAAAATGTACCTGAATCTATCTTACCAGTTTTAACCTATATTGTAGGCTATACAGTGAAAAAAGAATTAATGAGAAAGAAATGTATCATTTGTCAGAATTAGCAACAGTTCAATTTCCTAATGAATTAATTTTTCATCCAAATGGAGGAAAATTAACTTTGCTTACTGAATGTACTACTATTGCAATATGCTTTGTGGTTCACATTGCAAACAATAATTAATAAATTTTAGGATACATTTTTAAGTACAAAACATCAGTTATCAATTGGGCATAAGATTAGTAATATTCAATTTAATCAATATTTATCTCTATCACCATGTAATCTTTTCGATGAATATCTTTGCAAAATTACTTTGCAAATTCGACTAAAAAACAAAACTTTATAGGTTGTAAAATTATGTTGAATAATCTTGTTAAAATGATAACTGATTTCCAATCTCAGAAAGCATCCTCAAGCTGTAAAATTAAAAAATTAAAATCAAATTAACTGAATTTATATTTGTAATTATTAAAGTTAACATTAATTTTATCTTTTATATTGAACATGAACGTTAGAGAAGAACACATACAAAATGCTTAATAATGCCGCACACATCTAAATATAAAGATGTTTGTATAATGCCAATATATAATCTAACTGCTGAAAATTTAAAAAATATAATTTAAAGTTTTAGAAGAATTGGAAAAAATAGGTTTTAAACTTATTTCTTTAATAGCAGATAACAATACTGTAAAGCTTTTGAATTATTTTCAGTTTTTATTATTTTACAGTCATCAATTCCACATCCTTTAGATAGTTTGAGAAAGTTATTTTTTATTCTGTTCATATTAAGTGTGTTCACAATAATTGGATAACTAAAAGATCTGAAAATAAATCCATTAAATTTGCTGACATGGAGGATGATGATAATATAAAAGCAGCATAACTTAAACATCTGGAAATAATGTATGAACTGGAAAAACAATCTTTAGTGAAATATGGGCATTTACTTTAATTGAAAGTATTATATCCATCTAATATTCAAAAATAAAATGTTAAATTAGCATTGCAAATATTTAATGAAAAAATATTTCTGCTTTGAGATGTATTGCAAGCAATAATCTCAGCATGTTTCCCAGATATGAAAATACATGCACTTTTTTGCATATACAGTGCATTCTGCTTAATTGGGACACCGGTTAATCGGGGCAGCCACTTTATTGGTCCAAATCTCAAAGAACAAAAATCAAACTAATAAATTAATAGATAATTTAATCGCTTAATTGGAACAGTAGCAGAAAAGGAATTTAGCAATTTTTGATATATTTTAATAATCTTCTGAAAATATGTAGACCTAATGGTTGGCAGAGACAAAGCGATTTTGTCTTTTGCTCAGGCAGTTCGGTTTTTCAGGAGGAGGTCAGCATAGTGAGACGTATCATATGGGGATTTTGTCTGAGGCAAACCTGAATGTGAGTTACTGACCCCGCTCTGGATTTAACTGGACAATCCCCTCAAAAGTGAAGGGACAAAGATCACCAGACAGTTTTTCAAAGTCTCTCGACTGAGTTGGAAGACAGCTAAAGTTTCCTTGGAAGGTATTGTGTGCATAATTATGTCTACATTCAGACGGCAGCCATCTGATTGTTGAGACCAGCATTGAGCTGGTGGATTCTACAGACACTCTTGCTGAAGTGGCCCATCTCCAAGTAAAGGAAACTGTGCTCAAAGGAAGACTGTAAAATGACTTTTGGACAAACCCTTTTTTTTTTCCCCTTTTTAGTTAGAACGTGTTCTAACTAAAAAGAAAGAAAGGAAAAATTGTTCGATCAGGAACGGATCAAATGGTCAACCCCTGTTTACACCACTACTAATATTTGGCAACACTAGCATTATGTGAATCAGTTATCTATCGTCATGAGTCTGGCAAATTTATAGTACAAATATTTTCTGTATTTTGGTTTAATAAAGCATTAAAATAGGTACCTAATTATTATTTTTTACCTACTTATTTATTTACCTATGTATTACATATTTTATTATAGAATTCATTATTAGTTCATTTAATTGGGGCAGCCACTTAATTGGGCCAAAATGGATTAGTCCCAATGTGTCCCAATTAAACGGGATCCACTGTATTTATAACCTTGTGGAAAATTGTAAATATTTGTCATGCTTTTGAATGCCAAAGATTTAATGATAAATTTAGAGAACCAATAGAAAAAACAAATACTTTACAAATTGATTTTCTTAATCAGATGATTTTATGGCTGAAAAAGTGGAAATTAACATTGCCTGTATCAGACACATTAACATCTCAAACATTTCAGGCATTAATTATAACAAATGAAACTGATTTGCATATATGTTTAATAATTACAATTTAAATTATCTTCTGTGATCAAAGTTTCAGAATGATAAAATATAAGAATGATTTGGATGTTACAGGCAGTTAAGTGGGTCTAATTATTATATCAGTTGTACACAGTTATGATAAAGTGAAAAAAAATTAAGATTTAAAAGCTTTGTAATTTTATCATATAAAGTTCATGATATTAAGTTAAAAATAGTATTACCTTGCAAAGAAAACTTTAAAAGTTCTGTTAATAGATCCATTTTATACAATATTTCAGAATGAATTTTCCTTCCAAAATGTACCTGAATCTATCTTACCAGTTTTAACCTATATTGTAGGCTATACAGTGAAAAAAGAATTAATGAGAAAGAAATGTATCATTTGTCAGAATTAGCAACAGTTCAATTTCCTAATGAATTAATTTTTCATCCAAATGGAGGAAAATTAACTTTGCTTACTGAATGTACTACTATTGCAATATGCTTTGTGGTTCACATTGCAAACAATAATTAATAAATTTTAGGATACATTTTTAAGTACAAAACATCAGTTATCAATTGGGCATAAGATTAGTAATATTCAATTTAATCAATATTTATCTCTATCACCATGTAATCTTTTCGATGAATATCTTTGCAAAATTACTTTGCAAATTCGACTAAAAAACAAAACTTTATAGGTTGTAAAATTATGTTGAATAATCTTGTTAAAATGATAACTGATTTCCAATCTCAGAAAGCATCCTCAAGCTGTAAAATTAAAAAATTAAAATCAAATTAACTGAATTTATATTTGTAATTATTAAAGTTAACATTAATTTTATCTTTTATATTGAACATGAACGTTAGAGAAGAACACATACAAAATGCTTAATAATGCCGCACACAGTGAGTTTTACTGCTTATTAATTTTATCTTAAAAGCATAGTGTATTAGATGTTTTGTTTATTGTACAATGTAATTATAGTTATTTTATGTAATGTACTTAAATATTAATGCAATATTAAAAAACCATGTTTATTTTCATATTACATTGAGTTCTAAATTTTCTTGATTTTGAAATGATATAATTCATTGTACATACTAACATATTAAGTAATTGTTTTGCTAATAAATTGTAATTTTTAATATTAATAAATGTGTTTATTTCTAATGTGGAGTATTACATTTTATTTTACCTTTTTTTACTACTGTATATTAAAGAAATACAAATACTTAACTTTGCTTGTGTTATTATATAAACTCAATAAAAACTAAAATTTTACTCTATATTAATGTGTGAAGTTTAAGTAAAATGCAAAATATGTTTGTAATATAAATATAATATGAGATATTTTTGTAATATAATTTTTCTAGAATATTTATTGTAATGCCACATTATACTGCTTAGATAGATAGATAGATAGACTAGTAGCTGTAAGTTGGTCACATGATTTACTGATGTTTCGACTGTGCCAGTCCTGTCTTTCTCATTGGCATTGCATCATTTAGTTCTTGCTTGATGAGGGAATTTCCCTTAAGTTGAATTCTAAAATATTTTGACAAAATGATATATAGTGGGTGATCGGTTAATGAACAGTTTGGACTGCAAACAAATCGGACAATAAACACTTTCATAAAAGATTTTTATCTTCAGACAACAAACACATGTTCAGATAATGAACACCTCACAGAACAAACACAAGATGAAGCAACTTAAAATAACGAATACTGACTGGTCTTCCTTTGTCTCCAGGTAACAATTCAAAACCTTTTGGAGTGCAGGAGACGTCGACATCAATGCTCAACCTGGTATATACTGATCAAATAGTATTTCTCTGAACTTTCAAACTCTCCCTTGTAATTCCAGCCTTTTGTTTATTTTTCTGACAGAAAGAATTTTTTTTATAGTCTACGAGAGACTGTTGGGTGGGCACTCATTAAGTTTTGTGTCGGTTTTTATTTTTGAAAGGTGAGAGTATAATAGCAAAGGCAGAAGATGTATGATGTTGCTTGGCAGTATGGCTTGAACAGGTCTACAGTACGCTGAAGTTCAATCTTATCTAAGACAGATACAGTATAATCAAGAAGACTCAAGCAGCTAAAGGAGTAACGAAAATCACATCTGAGAAATAAAGAACATTGAAGAGCTCATAATGGAACCTGAAACTGATCTGATGACAGAAGAACTCCATGAACTCTTGAATGAAGAACACTAAGAAACTCAGTGAGATGTTTTCTTCTGAAAAAGAGGATTAATCAACAAATTCACAGATTGATTATGACATTCTTATTGACAGAGGATTAAACTAAAATATATTTTTAAATAATTGTTTATATTTAGTGCAAAATTTTAATAGTTTGAAAAATATTCTATTTTCATAAAATATTTTTTAATATTTTAATAGTATGTATTAATTAAGTTAATGGCTCTTTTATATATTGTTTAATTATTTACTGTCTTTGAGGTCATTTGTAATTATTTATGAATATATTATTGTTCATAATCACCAAGAATAGAAAGTATAGTTGCTGATAAGTTATCAAGGAACTTTTTTGCAAACAGTTAGGTATTAATTGTTATTTAAAGAGAATAGAAGAATAAGTTTGTGTTGATAAACTTATGTATTGATAATTGAATGTAAATAACTTATAAGTTTAAAATAACAATAATAAAGAAGATTATTAACTATTTCTTAAAATTTCACAAAAACTGTGTGTCATTTCTTTATCTCAATTAACGAACAATTCAGGTAGCAAACAGTCTTGAAATGGATTATGTTCATTAACCGATCACCCACTGTATTTTAAATGAGGCTATCTTTTTTTAAAAAAGATAGGCAGAAGTGACATAATGAGGCTATCTTTTTTAAAAAAGATAGCCTCATTATGTCACTTCTATAACAAATTTTTTAAAAAATCTTTCTATTGAGACCATGTGATGTTCTATCATCAAAAGTAATGATCTAATGAGTCCATTATTTAGAAAGTGTTATTGCTCAACTAAGTAATATACATAAAGTGACCCCCTATAATACTGTTGATAATTCCGTTTATATGAATTCCATGTTGTATGAGTCACTTAGATTTTACAAATACGTGTGCCGGGCTGTGAACGGCTCACGTATTTGTAAAACCTAAGTGACTCATACAACATGAAATTCATATAAAACAGAATTATCAACAGTATTATAGGGGGTCAACTGTACAATTCATCTTTGTTTTAGCAACATGGAATTAAAAAGACTCACAATTTTGTCAAAAAATAATGCATAGGGGAAAGCATACGAGTAAATTGGTCAACTCTACGTTACTTTATCCCATTCAAGAAAATCTTTTAAAAGACAATAGTGTTTTTACTCAGAATGTAGTGTATAAAGAAATTTTTTAAAGAAAGATTTTAATATTTTTTTTAATATACAGGTTATCATCTGTTTGTGTGTGTGTGTGTAAGTGAATTCNAGAATATTTATTGTAATGCCACATTATACTGCTTAGATAGATAGATAGATAGACTAGTAGCTGTAAGTTGGTCACATGATTTACTGATGTTTCGACTGTGCCAGTCCTGTCTTTCTCATTGGCATTGCATCATTTAGTTCTTGCTTGATGAGGGAATTTCCCTTAAGTTGAATTCTAAAATATTTTGACAAAATGATATATAGTGGGTGATCGGTTAATGAACAGTTTGGACTGCAAACAAATCGGACAATAAACACTTTCATAAAAGATTTTTATCTTCAGACAACAAACACATGTTCAGATAATGAACACCTCACAGAACAAACACAAGATGAAGCAACTTAAAATAACGAATACTGACTGGTCTTCCTTTGTCTCCAGGTAACAATTCAAAACCTTTTGGAGTGCAGGAGACGTCGACATCAATGCTCAACCTGGTATATACTGATCAAATAGTATTTCTCTGAACTTTCAAACTCTCCCTTGTAATTCCAGCCTTTTGTTTATTTTTCTGACAGAAAGAATTTTTTTTATAGTCTACGAGAGACTGTTGGGTGGGCACTCATTAAGTTTTGTGTCGGTTTTTATTTTTGAAAGGTGAGAGTATAATAGCAAAGGCAGAAGATGTATGATGTTGCTAGGCAGTATGGCTTGAACAGGTCTACAGTACGCTGAAGTTCAATCTTATCTAAGACAGATACAGTATAATCAAGAAGACTCAAGCAGCTAAAGGAGTAACGAAAATCACATCTGAGAAATAAAGAACATTGAAGAGCTCATAATGGAACCTGAAACTGATCTGATGACAGAAGAACTCCATGAACTCTTGAATGAAGAACACTAAGAAACTCAGTGAGATGTTTTCTTCTGAAAAAGAGGATTAATCAACAAATTCACAGATTGATTATGACATTCTTATTGACAGAGGATTAAACTAAAATATATTTTTAAATAATTGTTTATATTTAGTGCAAAATTTTAATAGTTTGAAAAATATTCTATTTTCATAAAATATTTTTTAATATTTTAATAGTATGTATTAATTAAGTTAATGGCTCTTTTATATATTGTTTAATTATTTACTGTCTTTGAGGTCATTTGTAATTATTTATGAATATATTATTGTTCATAATCACCAAGAATAGAAAGTATAGTTGCTGATAAGTTATCAAGGAACTTTTTTGCATTTAGGTATTAATTGTTATTAAAGAGAATGGAAGAATAAGTTTGTGCTGATAAACTTATGTATTGATAATTGAATGTAAATAACTTATAAGTTTAAAATAACAATAATAAAGAAGATTATTAACTATTTCTTAAAATTTCACAAAAACTGTGTGTCATTTCTTTATCTCAGTTAACGAACAATTCAGGTAGCAAACAGTCTTGAAATGGATTATGTTCATTAACCGATCACCCACTGTATTTTAAATGAGGCTATCTTTTTTTAAAAAAGATAGGCAGAAGTGACATAATGAGGCTATCTTTTTTAAAAAAGATAGCCTCATTATGTCACTTCTGCCTATCTTTTTTAAAAAAAGATAGCCTCATTTAAAATACAGTGGGTGATCGGTTAATGAACATAATCCATTTCAAGACTGTTTGCTACCTGAATTGTTCGTTAACTGAGATAAAGAAATGACACACAGTTTTTGTGAAATTTTAAGAAATAGTTAATAATCTTCTTTATTATTGTTATTTTAAACTTATAAGTTATTTACATTCAATTATCAATACATAAGTTTATCAGCACAAACTTATTCTTCCATTCTCTTTAATAACAATTAATACCTAAATGCAAAAAAGTTCCTTGATAACTTATCAGCAACTATACTTTCTATTCTTGGTGATTATGAACAATAATATATTCATAAATAATTACAAATGACCTCAAAGACAGTAAATAATTAAACAATATATAAAAGAGCCATTAACTTGATTAATACATANTGTGTGTGTGTGTAAGTGAATTCTCTGTAACTCCTATTTTTGTCCACTCCAGGTGAAATTTTGTTGTGTTATTCTTTATGTTACAACAGATAGTATAAACTACTTAATTTGTAGAAATATTAGCAACTCTTCTTGAATTTCTTGAAATCTCTACTCTTCTTAATTCTTCAATCTCTACTTTCTCATAAAAAGTATTCTGTCATACTTGACAGGGAGATTTCAAATGTTAAATATTTTAAGTGTGTATAAAAACACAATATCATCTACATACTCCATAATGAGCAATTATATTTTGTCACAATGCCAAAGCTGCAATTTTCAGTCAAATTTTAATTTAAAAAAATCATGCAATTTCTGATCCAGACCAGAAGTTTGCATATAGTTAATCAGCCCTAAGTTTTCCACATCAAGGGCATGTTCAGTAACACAGAACACTAAGTCAGAATTCTAAGTGGCTTACTGGGCAGAGCTAAGAATATCCTGGGCATTATTGAATGATTATTCATTGGCAGACAATGAGGAAAACTGGCAGATGAAGTTAAAATTAAATAAAACTAAATATAATAAATTAAAATAATAATTTCTTTTATCTTTAAAATGAAGTTATTTAATCCAGCACAAGCAGCTATTACTGTCATAGGTAAAGTTCTTCAAAGCAAAAGAAGAGTGACAGACTGATGTCACTAAGCATAGTAACTCTACTAAAAGTAATCTGAGTAAATGAGTAAGAATTCTTACAGTGGGTGAAGTCAGAATTACTAAGAATATTGTCCAGTATTATGTGGCACAGTCTGACTAAGTTAGAATTCTGCATTACTGAACACAGCCCTGGTCTTGATTTTCATCTAACTGAGATTAAGGAAGGACAAATGACAGAGAGATTATGGTTTCCCATTGTCATTTGAAAACTGCAGCCCTAAAATTATGACAATTAACTTTAAAAAATATATATAAAGTAAAATGGAAAGTTTCAAAGTATAATTTTTTTCTTACATAAAATATCTGTTTATTCAATCTTTTGTCTTGAAGAGCTTCAAAAACTTTTGTCATTCCCTTTTTGGTATTTTGCTGACCCAGAAGATTACCAAGTACGTCTAAGAAAAGTTTTACAGATAATGAATAATAGCATTTTTTTTATAAGGTATGGCAATAAACCATAATTATCACTAAATCTATAAATTATTATTATTATGTTATAATGAAATCGAGTAACTTCTTTAATTCATAGCAGAGACTGACAATGCTTAATTCTGCATAAACATAATAATTGCATTTGCAAAATTTTTTATTGATATATTTCTCAAATTATTTTATAATTATTAATTAACTAAGAATTTTAAATTATAAATAAATGTTTAAGTTATAATTAATAGCATATTCTGATATTAAATAATATGTTTTCAATATATTTACATAAAAAGGTTGCATTATATAAATCTGTGTTTTGCCACTTACCCGGAATATTATTTAATAACTGTTGTTTTGCCATTTCTCGTGTCTCCAATTTTTCTTTATCCGTCCTAGTAGAAGCAGGAATTTCTTTATCTGGCCACATGGTATCTCTGAACATCTGAAGATAGTACAAGACAATTGATTCTGATGTAATCCATGCCACAGTCTCTCGCAGTTGTCTATAAAATTTGTCATAAATTTGTTACTTTTGATATTAAGAACTATAAAAGACTTTTCTAATGATATGAACTAAAACAATCCAATTTCTTATTCATAGCACTCATAATACATAAATTATTATTATTTTAAATCTTAAAATGCTATCACTTCAAAACAGATAATTATGTTCATTTTGTAATCATTCACAAAACACTAAACATGACTAAATGAGATAGGAAAAAGCAATATATTGATCATAAAAAACCAGAAAAAAGGAAAATATTCTTTTTAAATTTTTATGTATTGAACAAAACATTAAAACAGGAATTGTAAAATCTTAAAACAAAGATTTAGTGGCACACTCAAAATTTAACCTTAGAGGGAACTGAGTTGAACAAATAAAAAAAATTTTAATGCAAATTTAATAAAACTCCAACCTTATGTGATCCATAATTCATTAGTAGTACAGAAATAGAAGACAATACAATATAACTAAAAAAAAATGAATTTTAATTAGGAAAAGATTTTTGGAAAATTTACTAGTGTTTTTTCCTTCCATTTGGATATAACCTGCAGAGAGTCATACAAACATCTTTATATTTAAAAAAAAAAAAAAAAAGTAGCAAATAGGGATTATTCACAGTATAAAATGATCTGATGATAAAATGTAGATAATTTTCACTGTTCAATTATATTCTTGAATGCTCTTTTAGACCTCCCTTTTGTAAAAAATAATTAATAAATATTATATGAAAGATTAATTTTTTAATATATATATTATATATATATATATTAAAAAATTAATCTTTAATTAAAAAAATACAGCAAATCGTTGTTAATTCAAACTTGAATAGTTGGAAATCTTATTAGTTCATAACTATACTATTTGTCCCAGCCAGGGATATGGAGATTTACATGTTAAGGAATGGTTAATTCAAAATACTACTAC